AAACAGTATTTTTTTTTTTTTTCTCGCAAGATACGATAAGTACCCGATAGATTATAATCTAACGATAGAAACTACGATAAAAAAACAAAAACGAAATGGATATTACACATTTGATCAGGTAAAATTTAAAGAAATTAAGAAATTGATTAACGTTTATTTATTTTTTTTTTTTTTGAAATATTCTTATATTTTCATTTCGTTTTTCTAGTCATAATTCAAATTCTTTGAATAAACAAAAACCTCCATCGCCGTTGCCAATATCTCCTCGTAATGAAAGTTTGACATATGCACATAATCAAAAAAGACAAAGTCTTTCTCATAATATGATGACACCTTCACAATCACAAGTTCATCGTGTGCAAGAACATCATCTTCCACCATTTCTTTCACCACCTCTTTCACATGCATCTCAATCTATGTTACAAACTCCGATATCTACATCAATGAATTTATCACAACAACCACCAATGATGCATACTTCTCAACAAACTCAAAATTCAATAGATATGCAACAACAACCACTTCAATCACAAACTACACAACTTCACCAACAACCTCAACAACAACAACAACAACAACAACAATCTCATACACCACCAAATCGTCGAATAGCTCATATTTTATCAGAACAAAAAAGAAGAGAAAATATAAATTCAGGATTTGAAGAACTTAAAAGTATAGTACCAAGTTGTCGTGGATGCGCTGATTCAAAAGCTATTATATTACGAAAAGGTAAATTTTGTTTTATTTTTTTATTTAAAATGCCAAGTAAAATATACGTGAAATGTAAACAGATGAAATGTGATAAAGTGGTACAGATTGATTTCATGTGGATCATATGGATCGTATGGATCATATGAATCATATGGTCAAAATATTGATATGGAATAATCTAATAAAAAAAAAAAAAAAAAGTTTTTTTATATACATATAATATGTCAATGTTTGACAAAATTAGATATCAAGAAAATTAAATTATTTTATTATTTATTCTTTTTTTTATTTATTTATTTTATTTTTATTTTTTTTTATATATTATTATTATTATATATTATATATATATATTATTTTAGCGGCTCATTATATTCAAGCTCTAGAAGCACAAATACAGAAATTAAAACAGTCTAGTAGTGGATCAACGACACCAAATACATCATCAGTAACAACGCCACCTTTAGTATCACCTGTAATGTCGGTGAAGCCCATTTCTTCAAGTCATATACATATGCATGGAGGAATAAATGGTAATCAGATGTACGCAATAACAGATTTTAATCAAAGGGTAGGAGAAGAGAAAAAAATACAACAACAATTAGAACAACAAAAATTTATGGGTCAATGGCAAACGAATCGATTAAATCCAAATTATTTACCAGATACTTCAACAACAACTACTACGTCATCATCATATCAACCATCACATCAATCACAAAATAATCATCACACTCAAACTCATCACCAAAGAAATCTTTCTTATCCAATACCTCGTCATCATCCTCAATATCATTATTCTCATAATAATGAACAACAATTAAAAACTGAAAATATGGATTGGATTCCTGGAGGAGATAAAAATCATCATCATAATAATAATAATCATCATTTTAATAATAATCATAATTACGAAACTAAGATGCATCATCATCATCAATCTTATCACAGAAATTATCATCCTTATCATTCTGATATGAATTCTTCACCTTCAAGATCAAGTCCTCCACATTCTATGGGTAGAGTAATGTTAAAACATGAAATACATGATCAAACTTATAAGTAAAAAAGTTTTTACAATACCTAAAAGTAATAATTACACCTATAAGTATCGATTGACGAATTGTCGTGTCACGTGATACACTAGCATTTATACCAATAATTAACGCATATAGTAATGTTAATAGAAAATTTAATTGGTCAAACATTTGCTACGTAAAGTTTTTTGATGAAAAAAAAAAACAAATATTTGGTAAAAAAAAAAAAAAAAAAAAAAAAAATTAAAAAAAAAACAAAAGGTTCTAGAATTGTTAGCTAGTTTTTTGATTTGAGATAACAATAATAATATTTAGAGATAAGAAAAATAATAAATGTATTCAAATTTTCTGTGTAGAAAGTTTTTTTCCTTTTTTTTTTTTTTTTTAACTTTCGTAAAGTTACACTATTAAAGAAAAACAAAAAAAATTGCGATTAAAACAAGATTCGTGGAACAATTTCGTAAATCCACGCTGGTTCACTAACCTGTTTATTTCATATTGTACTCAATTTTTAAAAATTGTGTTTGATTATTTTTATTATTTTTATTTTTGACTATCACCCTGTTTATCTCGTACTATTTCAAAAAAGTTAATCAGTTTGACTTTTCTTTTTTCTGTGATTTGAAAAAAAAAAACGATTTAAACTTGGGGCTATGACGGAATTTATCGGGAATGTGATGTGACTTGATTGAAAGATTATTGTGATTATGTGTGTGAAAAAGATTTTCTTTTTTTTTTTTTTTTTGTTTATTTTTTGTGTGGCATTATTTCGAAAGTTGTGGGAGGAAAGACGAAGGACACGAGTTGGGGCGCAATTAAACATGTGAACGATTTCATCAAACGATCAAATTGTTAAAATTGAGTAACAAGAAATCTTAGATTTTTATTTTATTTTATTTTAATTTAATTTATTTTAATTTATTTTAATTTATTTTATTTTAATTTAATTTATTTATTTATTGTATATCATCCGGATCAGTTGGATAAAAAAAAAAATGAATATTCATTCAATCAATCAATCTATGCAATCAATGCGTGTTTTTTTTTTAAATTGAGGCTTAAAGACAGCCACCACAAAGATTTTCGTTTGGAGGCTTAATGGGAATAACAAAATAACCTGATTCGTAACCAAATATTGAGATATGTCATGTTTTCCTTGTGATATTGATTTATCGTATCGATTTTTCATTATTATTAATTACTTTATTATTATTAACGTTAATGATTATTATATTAAAGTAATAATTAAAAATTTAAAATTTTCACATTTACTCTGAAGTGGCTTAGAGACCTTGAGAGAATTTGAAGTGAAATAAAAACTTTTTGACAAAATGACAAAAATAGGGGGGGTTTATTTTTAAAAAGTGATATCCAAAGAAGTATTAATATTTTTATCATCGTGTTTGTTATTTAAGGCTTTGTAAAGTTTTCATGAACAACCTGTTTAGGTTCATGCATAAAGGCTGCGTTTCTGATAAAAAAAAACTTGATAATTAAGGTATTGAGCAGCTGAACATCATCTTTGCGTAATGGTTTTTTTTATTAACGATAACCGCTTTTTTTTTTTTTTTTATAAAAATATTTGCGTTTGAAAAATAAGACAAAATTGAATTAATCATGTGTAGACCCGGTTTGATACCTCGTGTACTCTCTCAAAAAAAGGTAAGCTCCTGTTTCTTATTTTTTTATTTTTGGTAAAGATTTTATATTTTTTTCTGAAAGAAAAAAAAAAAAAAAAAAAAAAAAAAAAAAAACCAGAACTGATCACAATTCCAAGATTTTTCATTGTTTATATGAACCTGTTTCTTATATTTCAATTAAAAATACTATATGAAAAAAATTTTGATGATAGTTTCTCACACACATTATATTCCCAACATTAATCTAAAAGTTATATTTCCGTAATTTTTTTACTTGATTTTCTCACATCATGCAAGATAAAAAGATGTCAACATCAGTCACATGGGTTATATGAGAACGGTATAGTAAAAAAGAACAACATCTTAGTCGCGCACGAGCCCCCTTACACAAAAGCCCACCACATGTCTAGTGTAATTTTCATCTCTCCTGCGGCGTTTTTTTTTTTTTTTTGGTATTATAATAAATAGAATAAAAAGAGGCACTCCGGCTGATCAATTTATTCCTTTTTGACACGACATGTTAACTAACCAAAGGAAGAAAAATTAAAAAAAAAAAAATCATTAAGAATATTATTGATTGAAAAGTACCCGATCATTAAATTAAGTTTGTTTCACACGGCTATTGTACGTTTATAGTACATAAGTTACAAAGTACATTATATGTATCTTATCAGTTATTATATATATTTAGTATTACTTATCAGTTATTAAATTCTGCTGTGGCGTATCTTTATACTTTATGATAACGGTTTTTGCGTATCAGTTTCTAATACGTATGCACTAAATATGTACAGTATCAGGCTAAAGTACATAGGCTAAAAAGATAAATTAACTGTGAATAAATTTGTACTTATAGTTTATGGTCAGATGATAAAAAAAAACTTACTGCGCCGACTAAGTATTACACAGTATAATTTCGTGTAATTATATAAAAAAAAAAAAAAAAAAAGTGTGAATAAAGAACGTATTGATGTAGTAATCAATATTATCTCATAATGACAAAAAAAAAAAAAAATTATCTTCAAGATGTAAATCGTTCATTTTTCATTAAAAAAAAAAAAAAAACTCTAGTTTTTAATATACTTCCGCATAAGGTTCCAAAAGGATCTTGAGATCTCATCATGTCGTAAGACCACAGGGGGGAAAGAAAAATATATATATTTATTATTATATTATAATGATTTACTATTTACATTGACTCTCCTTTCCTCATTTTTACCTGATTTGTCATTTGATTACGAAATTTTTGCTGAAGAATGAGTAGTGTGATACACACATTACATAACTATTATGACTATTTTGGTCTCTGAGAGTTTACGTAACCTGGCTACTGTAATTTCGAATCGTAAAAAAAAAAAAAAAAAAAAAAAAAAAAGATCGTGAATTAATATTTAATATTTGCGAAACCACGCGACGCATATTTGCGTTACTTATCATCATATTTACGGACGAATTCTCAAAAAAAAATAATAAAATAAAATTTAACAAATACATACAAATAACAAATAAGCTCACTAAACCAAACGTAGAGATACAGTGTAAATTTAAATGCTTAAATCGCGGTAACATTACCTTAAAGAACAATGTTTCATTAAAAATTTTTTTTTTTTTTTTGGCATAGGTAATTATTGTTTTGATTACGTTAGAAATTTATATTTTAATATTCAAACGCGTAACCTTGTGTCATTGTAGTAATTTTCTTAGTCACGCTGCAACTTATAAAATTTTTTTACCAAATTGTAACCCGGACTCTTACGAAGAAATATTCATGTGACTTATTGAGGAATTTTGTGGCACAAAATTGTTACAAAAGAATTTTTATTTGTTAAAAAAAAAAAATTTTTTTTTTCTCGAAACAAAAAAAAAAGAAAAAAAACATGATAATTTATGATCTTCTTTGCATATCATATTAAAAAAGAATTTTCATCATCTCTTTTTTTTTTTTCAAGGTAGAAGATCATTAATTATGGTCTATCTCGGATCAAAGCGTAAGGATGATCGTTTATCTAATAGAAACGATCTTTATTTTCTAATAAAGATTGATTTAAACTTTTCAATTAGACCAAGTGGGTGCATACATCAAAATTTTAGTTCTTATTATTACCGTATCAAGTTTAGATTAAATTTATATAAACCTATTCATAGATTTAAAATCTGATTTTGATAAATATTTAATTATTATATTTATTATTATTATTATTTTTATTTTTATTTATTTAATAGTAAATAGTTCAATAAATAGTTCAGTGTAAATAGAATAATTCGGTAAAATCTTGAAACTTGGATTACGATTTTTTCAAAGATAATGTATATATGGTATTCCGGAAGGTAAATAATTTAGTTAAGTACTGTACTGCTGTAGTTAGTAGGTGAGTGCTGGCCCAGTGAGTTAGTTAATTAAATGAGTAATTTAGTTAGTTTAGTGAGTAATTTAGTTAGTTAATTCAGCGAGTGAATAATTTAGTTAGTTTTGTGTGTATATTAATAATAACTTAGTGAGTAGTGAAAAAAAAATAGTTAGTGAATAAAAATAGTTCAGAGATTGACTATCATGGAAATAGCAGGGAAGTATCAAAGGAAGTATCAAAGAAAATATCAAAGAAAGTATCAGAAAAATAGCGGGTAAGTAACGGAGGTATATCGAATACCGAATAAATTTATTTTAACATACAGTACTGGTACATTAAACACTATGAGTGTATCAGTTACATTTTATTAAAATTTGCGATACAACTATTTTCAATATAACCGAAAGAGGAAGCATAGGAAAACCAATAAAATAAAAGAAATTAAAGTTAGTCTTAATCCTACTTCAGTATCTCAATATTGTAAAAAAAAAAAAAAAACCTAAAATCATAAAAATCATAATAAAGTAAAATTAAAACTGATATGACTAAATCAGGTTAGAATATTTTATCAATTAAATATCTATGATTTCCAAAATAAAATAGGATAAGCTGTTTTGCGCATTTGTTTTAAGTTTATTTCAAATTGATTGGTTCATTAAAAATCCTAAAATCCGCAGTTGTAATGTTTGCCTCTAAGCATTAAGCATTAAATCAAGCCAAATTTCTAAATCTGTTATAGATCTATAATATATATTTCCGGATAATGGTTCATTCACTCCGTATTTATTTATTTATTTTTTTTTTTTAAATATAAAAATTTGGGAAAAAAAAAAAAAAAAAAAAAATCATAAGTTATCTACGCCATCCTATCTTTTTCTTGGAATATAAGAGTATGCAGTTTTACTTTTATTTGCATAATCATCATCCTTGAGCACCTCTAATTTAATATTTTACATTTAATTGCAGGTTTTTCGTTTACATTTATTTTTATTTTGAACATCTGAGCGATAGGGTTTAAATCCTAGTACCTTGGAGAACTTTTTTCCATGATAAGCATTCCCGTTGTCACAAATAAAAATGATGATATAAAGGTTTCTTCATGCAAGGCATGTGGATAAATGATCTCCCTAAATCCTTTTTCCTTTTGTATATAATGATAACATAACTTTATAAAATATAGAAACTCATAACATCTAGAGTATTATTTTTTAAAATAACTAGTATTTAAATAGTATACCGATTACTTTAAAAGTTCCATTTACGAGACTATTAGGTCTAACCCACGGGGTCTAGATTTTTACCTTTTTTGGAGATGTTTGTAACATTTTTTTATGATAGAGTTGGTAAGAATTATAATTCTTTATTTGTTGTTTTTTCTTTTTTTTTCCCCCTTTTAAGCAAGTTATATGGAATACACTTTAATGGATACGATTGACATATTATTGACATGTTTGTGACACATCATCGTGACCTATTTTCGATTTGTTGTATTTCTTGTTTGATTACTTGTCTTTTATTTTTTAATTATTATAACGATAAGTTTATCGTTATACTTTTTTTTTTTTTACTAGTTTGTGTCAATCAACAAATAGTTATACGATGACACATTACAATTAATGCAATGATCCAATAACCGATAAGAAGTTTGTATTTATAAAAGTGTCACGTTATATCTGATATCATTTATTCTACGTACAGTACATATCTGATATGTACGAACGTACGTACATACGTACATACATACATACTTTCATAGATATAATGATCACTGCACGAGATCGCGTTACGCTCACAAATATTTTACATCACACGGAAGTTACAAATACGAAAATTATAATTGGTTGCCATTAGCATTACGAATTTAGTGAATTTAACGGATTACATGTAAGAACGATGATACTTAACCAGTAAAGTTTAGAAAAATACTTTTTTGTTATACGATATTTAATAGTTTAACTGATCATCGGGCGAATATTATATATATATATATATAAACTGTATAACAATTGTAAAACTAGTATATAAATTACAGAGTTTTAAACATTTTCGTGGCTTATTCTGTTATTCCAAAAAAAAAGAAAAAAGTAAACCATGTTTACATCAAACTCGGTCTGACCATTTTTTAATTTAAATTGGTTATATTAATGTTACTTTTATAGGTTATTTAAAATTTTTATGTGATTTATCAAATTCTCACTGTATTATAATATCAAAGTTCTGCGCAATTGTTCTGCGTAATTGTTCTTTAACCTGTTAAATATCTAGTTAAATTTAAAGTTCATTATTTGGCTTGTTTCTTTTCCTTTTACATACCAATTATATATTAATGTAGAATGTTCAAATATGCGCCTTCAATTAAAAGGTCATCTGTACGATAACTTTAAGATTGATCTTTGCTTTTTAAAACTTGGCAACGAATAACCATCTAGGGTTTTATTGTAAAGTTATAATACTGTACTTACCTGATTATATCACGATTTTCACCAAATGCGCGCTAATTGAAAAAAAATTTCTTGTGCATATTTGCTCACGAGTCGCAACACGAGGACACCAAAATAAGTCGCGAAATTTGCGTTACTCCCTTATAATACTTTATTATGATACTTTATTATGAAATTTTACTATAAATTTTTAAATTAACAATTATCCCTTTTTAAAATTAATGCAACATTATTTATTTTCTTTAAAATGCAAATCAATTTTTTTATTATTATTATAATAATAAAATAAAATAAAAAATTTTTTTTTCTTTAATCATTCCTCTTTTGTAAACGAAAGGCGTCGGTCCTGTCCACTTTACCAAAAAAAGTATCATTAATACTTTTAAAGGTGAACCCTGATTCTAAAGTAATTCACTCATATAACATACCTTATAACACTATCGTGTATCGGTTATACAACGTTTTATAATAACGCCTTCTTTTTTTAACAATGAAATTTATAATTTAAATGATTCATGATTTTTTGATCAACAATCAGAAGGAACATGAGGGACGCGACAAACTAATTGATTTGTTATATATTAACGGTGAAACATTTTATTCGGGTACACTTGATTACCTTAAAAATAAAATTTTTACAATAATATATATATTTTAATGTATAAATGAATCATCGCTATTTTAATCTTTTTAAATTCTATTGGAATATTTTAGTATTACATACGTAATATGTTTTAACACTTTATCGGTTATACTTTTTTTTTTTTAATATTCGCGATGTTTTTCACAATAATGAATCACGGGGATTTATTTCTGATTATTTCTTGTTATATAAACATTAAAGCATTAGGTAAGTCATAAATAAATATCATGATTCGATAAATATATTTTTAACTATTTTTCTAACTGCTAATTTATTATACTTTTTTTTTTTTTTTTACATAATGGTTGGTTTTTTGATCACGTGATTAATACAACAACAAGTAAGTTTTAAACAAGTAAGTTTTAAACAAGTAAGTTTTAAACAAGTAAGCTTTTAAACAAGTATACGAAAGACTATGATTTCTGATTGTGTAAATATTAATTACTCTTACGTAAAAATAAAGTCACCAACATGGAAATATCTACTATTATTATTAATTACTAATTTTAATGTTAATTTTATTTGTACCCATACCGTTATCGTTATCTTTATTTTAAAACTATTAAATATATATATATGATTTGTACTCCACTTGTATTCTTTTATTCTCTTCATTAAAGAATTTAATAGAATATTACAAAAGAAAATTCGAATATTCACATAGAATATATCACATTCTTTTTTTATATTAGATTCTTTTAACATTATATGAAAGTTTCAGGGTATGTACTTATTTTAAAGGATCGATTTTAAAATTACTACTATTAGGATAAATTAAATTTTCTTTTATGTGTACCCTGGCATTGTAATGATAATAAGAAAAGCGTTAGTTATAATTAGATTAAATTTAATAATATAACGTGATCACTCCTTGGTACTTCTCGACCATACCAACTACATAGTTACACGTAAACTTTACGCGTGGTTGGTAACATTTTCACGTGATGCAAATTTTAATTTATTATCGAAACGTAATATGATTTGTTATAGAAAAAGTGGTCAATTTTAATTGATCGGTATGATGCATGTCACATATATAAATGTAAATAATTTTAAATTAAATTGTCAAGACTTTTTTTTTTTTTTTTTCTATACGTAATTCAAAAAAAAAAGTTCCAAAACAATGGAAAAATTAAGCGGACAAGAATTAATCCAACAAGCTGGTCAACTAATTGCAGAAAATAAATTAGATGAAGCTGTTAAAATTTTTGGCTTTCTTGTAGAAAAATTACCCGATGCATATTTACCGTTGTTGAGTAGGTGTACCTGGTATGACAATTTTAAATTTATTCTTATTATTATATTTTGTTTAATTTCAAAAAAACCCCCCTAAATATGTTACTAAAATACATAATATATATATTACTTTATTATTTATTCACTATAATATTTATATATATATAAAATATATTTTAGTTTGATTCAATTAGAGAGATATGAAGAAGCAAAACTTGACGGTACTCCGTTTTTTTTTATTCTTAAAACATTTATTTCAAATTTATCTTTCAATTCTAAAATATTCTAAATAAAATTGTTTTTTTTTCTAGCTGAAAAGATCCTTACTTTACAAAATGTTCCAATTAGTGATGATATTGCACCTGGAAATTCAACTTTACATTCTGTTGGATACATTCGATTGGCTAAATGTTATAAAGAACTTGGTCAGGTAATTATTACTATTATATTTTTAAATTTTAATATATATCTAATATATCAGTATGATTATGAATGATTAACACATATTATTTTAAAAAAAAAAGGTTGAAGAAGCTGAAAAATTAATTAAAAAACGTCAAGAACTTGAAAAAAAAGTAAAATCTAATAAAGATGTTAAAAACATTATTACTAATTTATCAGATGAATCTGATAATGAAAATGCAATTCCGGAAAAGTCTTCTACAAATAAAGTTGCCGAAAAATTAAGATTACAAGGAAATGATCTTTATAAAAAACAAAAATATAAAGAAAGTTTAGAAAAATATTTGAAAGCATTTGAAATTAATCCAAATGATTTATTAGTTAATTCTAATTGTGCTCAAGTTTATTTGAAACTTGGTAAATTAGATGAAGCTCTTGATCATGCCGAAACTTGTATTCGTCTTAATTCAAAATGGGCAAAAGGATATTATCGTAAAGGTATCTATCTCTTATTTTACTTGCCTTTTTTATTAAATATTTAGATTAATTTAATTTATATCTATTATTATCAAACAGGTTGTGTATTACTCGAGAAAAAGAAATTTCAAGATTCAATTTCTGCATTTCAATTAGCAAAACGTTACGGTGCTCAAGAATCTGATCTAGAAAAAAAAATTGAGTCAGCTAATAAACAAATTAGACAACATAATAAAAATATTTCTAATAATAATAATAATAGTAATAATAATTTTCTCGGTATTCCTTATAAATTTAATAATTTAAATTCATTCACTATTTCTGCATTGGTGATTTCTTTAATTTCTATAATTGCTTGGTTTTTTATTGATATTTCTGTTTTTAATTCCCTTAAAAATTCCCTTTTGTGGACTTTTAAATCTTATTTTGGTGATATTTGGTAACCTCTATTTATGTAGTTAATTGATTCGTTGTTGTAAATGAATTTTGTACATGTTAATTCTTCTTTTTCAATACATGTAAACTAATTACTACTATAGCAAGTGTTATTCATTATTTGCAGCAATTGTACGTACGTACGTACTGTACGCAAATTTCATTTATGTATCATGATTTGTTAATATGTAAAAGTTTTCAATCATTTTAAATTTTTAGTAAACATTAAATTCTAGAAACGCCATTAAATGATGGGTTAGATAATCTTTTGATAATTTTTAAAATGTATGATCTATTGTCTTTTTTCATTATAATATTCATTACAGTAACACTTTATTTTATTTTATATATCTACTAATTTGATTTTAGAGAGATTCTCTAACAGCCATATCGACAATGTGTCTGTGATCAACACTAGCTATAAATCTGGCTAACCCTAACCCTAACTCTAAATCAGGCCCAAAATTGCAATAGGTAAAAAAAGTTGACGGTGAAATTAGTTAATATTGTTTTATAGACCTGATAATTGTCTTATTTCTTTCCCAAAATATCAGCTAATAAAAATTACTCCTCTAATATAAAAAATAAAGAAATAATTTTTTTTTTATTAATTTTATTGTTAGTATAAAATTTAAGATTTTAACAAGAAATTATATAAGCATAATTTCGCAATTTTTTTATTAGAATTTTAAAAGTATTTTATAAACAAAATTTTTAATATTAATATATTTTTTTTAAAAAAAAAAAAAATCTTTTTTTTATTATATAACAAAAGATTTATATATAATATCTAATTTGTAATTTTAATAAATAAACAAAAAAAAGCATAAAACATATAGTGTACTAACAAGTTTTATTTTATAAATAAAGTAAAATTATATAATATATATATTACTTAGGTAATTTTGTTTTTTATTTTATTATAAAAAAGCACATAAAATATATTATAAAAAAAATATAAATTAAGCTAAGTTAGTTATATAGTTGCTTTTTTCATTTAATTTTAAACTTATTTGATTGCTTAAAGTATCTAAATAAAATTTATTATAAAGTAGATTTTTTTTTTAAAAAAATAGTTTATTTAAATAAATTCTTATTTTAATAATCTACAAAAAGTTACTATATACTAGTATTTCTATAAACCTAAACTAAACTAAACTTTGATTAGGTTCAAATTCAGGTTTAGTTTAATAGTGAACTGAACTTAAACTTTTTTAAAAAAAAAAGTTTGGTTCAAGTTTAGTATTAAACTTTTAATTTAAGTTCAGATTTAGTTCAGATTTAGGTTTAATAATCTGCAAAATTTGAAGTTCAGTTTAGATTTAATAAACTTGGTTTATAAACCTGATCTGAACTGAATTAAATTTAAGAATATTACTTTTAAAATTTTAGTAATTTTCATAATTTTATTAATAAAATTATGTAAATTGCTATTATTCTCAAAATTTTACTAATAAATTCTATTTTTATTATGTAATTAACTTTATTTTTTTTTTATCTTTAGCAGTCATACTAATACTTTATTAGACTTTTTAATACTATATATATTTCAAAGAATTTAACTAATTTCTTAAGTTTAGTATTATCTAGTTCCTATATAGGGCTTAAGTATGATGTTTTGCACTATCTAAATTGGAGATAGACCACCTTATTTGACTACTACCCTACAATAGGATACTACCAATTTGATGATATCTTTTTTGTAAGAAAGCAAAAAACAAAAAAAAAATTTTCAAGAACATAAAAAAAGAGGTATAAGGATAGACAATAAAAGATACAAATCAAGAAATAAAAGAGAGAAGAGATAAAGAAAGAAAAAAAAAGAAACGTAAAATTTGCATTTTACAAATATCAGATAATTATATTTTAAGCCTGTAATAGGCTTTAAAAATTATAGACTATACTAAATAAGAATTACTCTACTATTTTTTTATTTAATAGAATATTTATCAAAAAACTATATAGGAAAGAAAAAACTTTGACTTAATTATAGAAGGTCAGTATAGGTCACTAGTTAGTCTGGAAGCAGTATTTTGAAGTTCTAGTATCTTCAAAGTATATGTATAGTCATGTTTGTATTACTATTTTGTTTCTGACCTAAGTTATTAACAAATCTGTTTAGGAAATAAACACTGCTAACTGTTTTAGTGATTTTATGTATTGATCTTTAGGAGGAGTAAACTAAAATGTCTACTTTTTACAAAATCTTTGAAGAAAAGTAAAGGTAAAAGATGAACTAACTTTGTAGCTTTTATAAGTCTTTGAACCTTTGCAGGTATTCCTTGTAGATTTTACAGTTATATAAAACTAATATATCCAACTTTGTTGTTTATCTAAAAGAAAAACTTTTGCTTTCACAACTACTTCTTCTATAGTCCCAGAGTGCTTTAAACTATTCCACAAAGCTATAACTTCTTTTTTAATTCTATTTCAATGTCCAACAATGTGAGTATAGTACTCTAAAAAAATTTTTTTTGAAGGTTAATATATTAACTATATCATTTTTCTGTAGTTCAGCTTTTTGAAAAGTTGGTTCAAATAATCATTGAAGAGAGTTTTGTTTATTACTATAATTAACTTTATTCTATATATAAAAATATATTATATTAATATATTTTATATTTTTTAATTTTAAAAAAAAGATATTTAATTTTAAATTTTTGATAAAAAAATTTAACATTAAGTATCTTTTCTTAAAATTAAAAAATCTAAAATAAATTTATATTAATATAACATATTTTATATATAGAACAAAGTTACTTAGAATATAAAGATAGAATTAATTAGTAAAATTTTAAGAATTATAAAAATTGCTATAATTTTCAAAAATTTACTAATTAATTCTATTTTTTTTTTTTTTTTTTTTTTTGTTATTAAGGCTATTTCCTTGGCCAATTAGATTTTTATTAGTTTGTTATTGCAGAACTATCACATAAACGGTTTTCTAAGATTTTATAGTTATATGATGAGTATACAACAAGCTACATGTACAACTTTAGTTATTATTTAATTTAAGTAGTCCGCTATACAGACGATCGACCATCTGTTAGTTCTACACTATGCTGCCATACCTGCAACCCGCCTGTGAGTTACCTATTTAAACACTCTGATCATTAACCCTTCTCCATCCCAAACTAACATCACCACTATGACTAATCGTTTACGCCAGCTGGTTCACCTGCGGATCCATTTCTCTGTACAGCTTAGATCCTCTCAGGATGCGTATGCCCAATGTATTGTGAGCCGCAGAGCTCTAGTTAACCTCGGAAGTATTTCCTACCAAAGTGGTCATGTGCCTATTTCACAGATTCATCTGGATTAGACCCTTGTTGATGTTCATACAAACCCAGTTCCTGCTGTGGCTATCTACCAAATATAGTCCTCCAAGTTCTAGCCAGATGTTTCATAAGGTAGATCTTTCCAATTTAGTTAGCTGCCAAGCCAAGTTGGTGTTGACGCTAATGCAAGGCATCAGGCTGCGTTACACAGCAAACTTACTCATACCTATCAATCTTACATCCTTCATACTTAGGTTTTTTACTAGATCAGGCGTTAACTGGCTTAACTGTTAAAATCCATACTACTTCACCAAACTCGGGATTTCTACCATGCAGGTCCCCTGCCCATAGATCCTATCAAGATTTATTTATATAATGTAACTCGAGCATTGCATCATACTTCCAATGTCTGATTGACATTGGTGCAATATGATTTACAGGGTTGTAACCACCAGAAATGAGCAGAGTTTACCATAAGTTGAGTACAAAGGTCTAGGTAATTATTCAAATTCGTCGACAGTGGGATTTGAACCCTAGACCTCTTGCATAGTGGTCTGGCAATCTAACTACTACACTAAGATCACCAGACCCACTATTTTTTAGATATTAAATTTATATGAATTTATAAAATTAGATTTTTTTTTGATCCAATTTAAATAAATATTATTCTAAATTATTAAAAAATAAAATTTATAAAACATGAAATTATATATATAATATATATCAAACCAATTATATATACCTAAAACCAATTATTCTTTTTTAAATTTATATGAATAAGAATAAAATACTATAAATATTATATATAATATTACAAAGTTAAATTGTTTAATATTAAATATACTCACACACAACTCTTTCCGATGATCTTTTTTTCCAAAAATTCGGAAAAGCTAAAAACAAAAATTTATTGGAGATAATGATGAAGAAGGCTCTTTTACAATATAACAGTTTTTATAGAGGTCAACTGGTGCTTCGGGGACTCCTCTATATATTTAACATGCAAGCTAAAAGCGATATTATACAAGATAACTGGCAGGTGGAGCCCTTGTATAAAAAATTTTAGT